AGGTCTTGTGGTGGAGAAGAACATGACCTGGCTGCCTCTGTCCAAGCCACCTGTCTGGCCCCATCCCTGTGGGAACTGATCTCTGTAGCCCAGTGAGGTGGGTAGTCCTGGGATCCCATTGTATGGGGTGGGCAGGGGACGTGCAGGGGTTGGAACTGAAGCCCTAGGCGAGTACTCTGACCTCCCTGCTATCATCTGTAAGCCAGCAGCAAGTAGAAAGGACACGGGTCTTTGATCTTAAAAACCTCATGATTTTTGAAGCCAGCCTCACAACTGGTTGGGGCCTGACTCGTGATTTTTGAATGCAAGCTTGGAAAAACGGGAAACAGGCTCTGTCTGGATGAGAGATAGCTAAGCTCAAGGAGAGCCCAGATGCTGTGGTGAGAGGCTCTCTAGAAATAGGAGGCTGGGACAAAGCTGCCACCACACGATTGGATTCAGGTTGTGGTTACGGAACACCAGACGTGAGAGGGACGTGATTCAATAGTCAAGACTTCGGTGAGAATTCCAGGGCCACTGAGCCAGAAAGCTAAAGCTTGTCATAAAAGCGCCTGAGGGTGGGGTGAGGAGAGCATGAGTTTAGTCTCCCATTTCATGTGGATTGTTTGTAATCTAGAGTCAAATGATTGCACTTTATTATCTGTTCTTCCTATAGGCACATGTACTGCTGTGCTTTTGTACTGACCCCTGCTGGCTCTAAGGAACAGCATCAGAGGGGCACTTCTGATTCTTGGGCCTGGGCAGAAAACCTGGTGATTTAAGTGGTGGATTTCTCTTCACGTGCTGATGAAAGCCATGGGAAGTGGCATACCCTCGAAAGGCAGAGGAAGTTCTGCATACCCATGGCTAGCACTAGAGTCAACTTCCCATGAACGCTGTGGGGTGAGAGAGGGGAATTCACTGATAGTAAAACTTTGAGAGCTAAATATCTGGGATCCGGACTATGGCCATCGACCGATCTTAGGAGCTCCTCCACAAGCAGCTGTGAGGTGGTTGATTCTTTGGGCTCTGTCTCCCCTTGCAAGGGCTACCTGGCCATTCTGCTATCACTACAGCTAGGGTGTCAGAGAGGATAGGTACAGCCACGTGGACTGTGGATTTGAGAACAAGCCTTGGAGGCCACTTTCAGTTCACAGTCAGCAGCCTTTTGATCCCTCAAGCTATGAATTCTTGGCCTTGGGCCTGGTTCTGATGCCTCGGTGACTTTTTTTAATTTAATTTTATTTTAACTTCCAGGATAAAGGCTAAAAAAATGATGTCTGTAACTTAACTCTTGCTGGTCCAGTACGGCTTTGGGGGCAAGACAGCGGGAAAACAGATGTCAAGAGGAGGAGGAATGTGTGAACCCAAACTGGATGGTTCCTGTAGCTGGAGTGGTGAGATTTCTGAAGACAGGAGCATGCCAGGTGCCAGCCCTTGTGTGAATAACATACCTTGTTCTCAAGTTTTGGGGATCTGGGAAACACTGTGTCTAACAGCTACCAGTTCTTCCAAGAATGCTGTGGTTCTGAAGGCCCAGAGTGTATGTCTGCGAATCAGAGCTGGGCAAAACAACTCCCCAGAGCCTCCGAAGGCTTGCAACCGATGGAGGCTCATGGGGCAGCTTTTGCTGCTGGCGAGACTCCTTGCGCATGGGAGCGATTGCTAGCTGAACCATCAGACCAAAGGGTCAGGAAGGGGGAGGAGGCTGGTCGTTCACCTCAGGGCTGTCCAGAAGGCGATGGGCACCGGCCCACCTGCACTGCAGAGGAGGATGTTAGTTGGAATGGAAGCTGTGCCCAAGTTCCGACAGTACTGCCCGAAGAGGACAGCTTGCACTTTGCTGAGTTCAGTGCCCCCGACTACTGTCCTTCTAGTTATGAATGTTCCTGTAGCTGTCGCAGGGAGAGTTTGGATCTCTCCAGGACTTACTTGGAAAAGGGGAACAGCTCATGTAGTTTCACCTGCCAGCACTGGACTTCAGAGTCCCCTGGAGTGGAGGATGAAACCTTTAGTCCTGATTCAGCATCGCTGCATCAGGCCCAGGAGGAAGATGAGGAAGATTGCGAAGTGTCCAAGGCCAGTGACGATCCTTACGAGTCTGGCAGGGCACTTGGCGGCAGGAAGAATGGGAGACGCCAGAGGTACCGCTCTGGTACAAAGGACAAGGGGGAGGGGAAGGAGAACGCCAGGCGGGAGGGCAGATCTGTGCCAGCTGGCGGGAAGCATAAGCAGGCCAGGAAGAGGAGCCACATGGACAGGCGGCGCCACCTTAAGGCTGACGTGCCCAAGCAGCTGGAGGAGATGACTCGGGTCTGCATCTCCCGTTTCAAGAAGCTTCTCAAGCTGGTGCTGGTTGTCACTCATGAGTGCCGCGAGTACATGGAAGCTGGCGGGAGACTCCTCTACTCCTGCTGTCAGCTCAATGCTTGGGACCTGGGCTCAGCCCTTGGCAGCGTGAGGATGTGGTGCCAACGAGCCAAGAGTGACTCCAGGAAGGCAGCCCGGTGGCTGTATTCCTGGGGGAGTTGGTTGGGCCAGCTGCTCAGAATGTTGGGGGCCCAGCTCTTCTTGGTGTTCATGCTGCTCCTGGGTAGCCTCTGGCTGTGTTGCAAAGTCTCTAAGTCCCTGTTCTTTGCTGGGGCAGGAAAGCTGGGCAGAACCCGCTGCATGGCCTGGCTCCCCTTGCTCCTGGACTTGCCCTTCCCCCGCAGAGCGTGGGCTGTCTTCAGAGAAACCAGGACTTTCAAGTACATGTCACGCTGGCTGCAGTGGTGGAGAGGGCTGCTTGGGGCACCCAAAGGGCTAAGGACCGATGGGCTGGGAGAGGCAGCTGCTGGCCCTGATCCTAGTGCAGGGAGGCGCTGCGAGCCCAGCCAGGAGGTGGCACGGCTGCTGGCCCTGGCCGATGTGCCCGAGGAGGAGCTGAACCCCTTTCAAGTACTGGGGCTGGAGGTGACTGCGTCAGACACAGAGCTGAAGAAGGCCTATCGTCAGCTGGCCGTGCTGGTGAGTGTGCCCTGATGTGGTGGGAGGTGGATGCCGCACCTGCCCCCATGACACCCAAGCACCTGGGGAGCATGAGGCAGAAACTGTGTTCAAGCTGCATTGCCCTTTAAGGGGCAGAGTGTGAGCCACTCTGCTCTGGCCCCCTCCCA